GTTTTCAGACTTTTTCAATTCACAATCCTTTCTTGAGGAAAAAAGAGACAAAATAATTTAAGAGAAAAAGGAGTAAGAGGGGACGGAGGCAATGTAATTGAATGGAATTAAAGGTGGGCAAATAAACTAAAAGATATAATCAGTTATAAAACATAAGAAAAAAGACAGGCTGGTAGCCCAGAGACCATCATTTTGTAAAAACATAGAGAACTTTGTTGATGTATCTCTTAAAGAATAAAAACTTACATTCCATACCATCTACTGGGAATAAGGTTATTGTTAAATAAAGTTCTAATTGTTTGCAATTAAATGGCCTCCTCTTGATTATGGTCGTGTTTTTGAGGCTACTATATATATCTTTCATCAATAACTGTTTATGTTTATGTAACCACATCATATTATAATGGGGAAAGGGGTATGCCTGGGCATATTAATTTTGGTTCTGACAGTAATATACTGCTGTGGTGGCTTATATCAGTCGGAGTTAAATAGATCTGCAGGTCCAGTCTAGAATATCTTTATGACCTATTTTCAGTGGAATTATTATCACTAATCACACTTTTCTGGCACTTAGAAAAGACCATGATGTTATTTTGTAATCTGAGAAGAATGGCACGTGATTTTCAAAAGCATACTTAACTAAGCTTTATTTCTCTTTTTAATATTTTAACTCTATCTGTAGATTGTGCTTGGAAGCTTTAAAATTTTAAACTAACTCCCTGGCATTACAGTTTTTTATATGTTTAATGATTTATACTGTTACCCTGTATGGCTTGGCCTTGGAGAGCTATAGACCTAGTAGTGCAACTTACACATCCATCATTTTAACTCACATGACTGCTTTCATTGATTATAATGAGACTATAGTGAGTACGGAATTTGATTGTAGGTTCGACCTCAAGATCCATTCTTTTTATCAACCCTGTTTCTTCAGATAATCTTTTCAACTTTTTTTCTTCATTTTCACAACTGATATATATATAGAGAGAGGAAATAATTAAATGTATAACTCTAACAACAAAACGCATAAAACTAGAACAGTTAAAATGTAATTCATTTCCTTGCATAAAGAATGACCTTTATAATTATATTTAGACTCTGGCTCTAGTTGAGTTGAGATAATTTATTCTCCAGCAAAAAGAAGTTCTCTTCCACTATCACGGTACATATTGCTATGCATAATCCTTTCAAGGCTTAGATTTTGAAAGTAAGGGGAACATAACAGAATTGGAAGGGACCTTGGAGGTCTTCTAGTCCCCTGCTTAAGCAGCAATCCCTATATCATTTCTGACAAATGCTTGTCCAGTCTCTTCTCAAAAACCTCCAGTGATGGAGCACCCTCAACTTCTGGAGGCAAGTTGTTCCACTGACTAATTGTTTTCACTGTCAGGAAATTTCTCCTTAGTTCTAGGTTGCTTCTCTCTTGGATAAGTTTCCATCTGTTGCTTCAGGTCTTGCCTTCAGATGCTTTGGAGAATAGCTTGACTCCCTCTTCTTTGTGGCAACCCCTTAGTTATTGGAAGACTGCAGTCATATGACCCCCTAGTCCTCTTTATTAAGCTAGACATAGGAAGCAAAACTTTCTGTGCTCATATTGCATTTGCATTGGAAATGATGCCTTTGGAATTATCACTCATAACCGATATTAGCTTACTTCAGTGTTTCCCAAACTTGACAATTTTAAGGCATGTGGACTTCAACTCCCAGAATTCCACAGCCAGCAATGCTGGCTGTGGAATTCTGGGAGTTGAAGTCCACATGCCTTAAAATTGTCAAGTTTGGGAAACACTGGCTTACTTCATTACAAGATTTATTGCACACAAATCATATGACAGTGAGGAGAAGGATGGTATCAGATTTGAACATGTTTCTTTATATAGTAATGATGTTGTGCATTATGCTGGCGTGGCAATCTTTCCTGCCACCTCAGCAAGATAAGTCGACAACACTTATTCATTTAACATTGACCCAGCGTATAGCTACAATGAAAAGAAGAAAAAAAATCCATATTTTGGTGAATCACTAGGAGAGGAATCGGATTGTCAATAGCATAATGCCTTTGTACAGTGCTGAGAAGCAGTTCCTTTAAAACAGCGCGCATAATTGTGGTCATCAAGATAAGTTGAAAAGATGCAGAAAAGGACACTAGATGTTCAAATACCTGGAGCAGAGGCATTTACAGGATCAGCTGTTTCCATCAGATAGAATTATTGATTGCTTCATTACAATGCATACTCTCTGTTTGCACATGTATAGGATGGCACAACATAAGTAGAAAAAGGGAAAAACATGGATCATGTTGGTGTGATTTTTTTAAATCATTTACTCTGCAGGCCTGCAGGAATTTTCTTACAAGAAATTTATTTCAGGGTTTTTTGTGTGTGATGATCACTATATATATGAACGATATGAAGAAAACAGATACTAGAGTTTTTGTCCCTCTTATAATCCTAAAACCCAGCACTCAGTGGAATTAAATGAAGGGAAAACCAGGATACATAAGATAAAGTATTTTACACTGGATTTAACTAACCTGAGGAATTCACTGTCATAAAAATGGAATGATACCCATTAATTTGGGTCTCTCAAAAAGAAGATTAGATTGATTCATAGAAAGCAACTATCAGGGATTACTAGCCTCGATAGCTAGATTTTACTTCCTGTATCTGAAGCAAAATGGCTTGTTTGCTCAATAAGCTATGGTTTAAACTATGATTTAAGAGCCATAGTAATTGAATTCATGCACTGCTTTAAGCCAAATACAAGCAGATAGAATAATACAAAATGTGAACCCAGTCTGTGCCTCTCCATATTCATGTTTCACAAATTGCTCTATGGGGAACATGAGTGGCAAAAAAAAAAAAAAAGGTATTTTGCTCATATCCTGCTTGCCAACTCCAGATGGGCCAATGTGGGAACAGAACAGGCTGCATAGATTTTTGATCTGATCAAGCACGGCTCTTTTGATGTTCTTATTACATTTTAGACACATTTTTCATCAAAGAGAAAAGGATGGCAGATATGTTCCTTTTGTTAGCTTTAAACTAACTCTGTTTGATAGGTTCAGTAATACAATATATTTCCTGTTGAGGGGCCTTTGAAGTGGAACGTATCTCCTTTTCACCTCCAATACCCAAGCCTCTAATATTCTACTCTGTATTTTTCTGGAACCCCAGACCCCAAAATGGCATAATATTAGTATGTGACATTAGTATGTGATATAGGCAATTATTCAGTACTATTGAAAAGAAGTACAGGTAGCCCTTGACTTACGATCAGCATTTCTGTTGCTGAGACAGTTAAGTGAGTTTTGCTCCATTTTACGACCTTTCTTGCCACATTTGTTAAGTGAATCACTGCAGATTTTGAGTTAGCAACACAGTTCTTAAGTGAATCAGGCATCCCCGTTGACTTTGCTTGTCAGAAAGTCGCAAAAGATGATCATGTGAGCCTGGGACAGTGCAGCCGTCATAAGCATGAATGAGTTGCCAAATATATAAATTTTGATCACATGATCAGGGGGCATCTGCAACAGTCGTAAGTGTGAAAAAGATCATAGTTGTAATTTCGATCAGTCATTAAATAAATGGTTGTAAGTTGAGGATTACCTGTAATATGTTAAACGAAAAAAAAGTATGAAAAACTGAGAACAATTATCTTACAAGGCAAACTAAGGCTTCTATTGTACATAAAAAAGCTCATATCTAGTCATGTTCACATCCCCGCTGAACTCCAGCTAGGGATGAGATTTGTTCATACGTACCTGAAGTGCACCTGTGCAGAGGAAAATAATTTAGATGATCCTCTATGATAAGATTCCCTTTTGTCGTTGTTCTTATTGGACATCTTACCAGCTGAAAAGCATCCTGTTCAATGATTCACTGATGTGAAACCAAGTAGTTATAGTCCAGCTTGGACAATAAGCTTCCTTGTTAAATCATCAAAATAGCAGGATATCAGTAGAACAAAGAAATTTATAACATTACTATTTAGCAATACTGCAATAGCGCACTTCTGAACTTTTTGCACATATGAACTAATTCTAGCTGATATAGCTGAAAGCTAGAGGTTATTCCTTTACTCCATATGGAGGGCATTAGAATTATGAACAACTCTTTAGCTGTTTGTTAAATGTACAGATAGTCCTTGGCTTACCACCCCAGTTGACCCCCAAATTTCCATTGTTAAGCAAGTCAAGCAACTAAGTGAATTTTGCCCCATTTTATGAGCTTTTTTGCCACAGTTGTTAAGTGAATCATTGCAGGTGCTAAGTGAATCGTGCATTTATTATGCAAATTTAGCTCCCCCCCCATTGACTTTGCTTATTGGAAACCAGCTGGGAAGGTTACAAATGGTGATCTCATGACCCCAGAACATTGCAACTGTCTTAAATAAATGCTGGTTGCCAAGTGCCCAAATTTTCATCATGTGACCATGGGATTGCTGCAACAGTTGTAAAGTGTGAAAAATGGTCACAAGTCACTTTTTTCAGTGCCGCTGTAAATTTCGAACAGTCACTAAATGAATGGTTGTAACCAGTGGTGGGATTGAAATACCTGAACAACTGGTTCTCTTATTGGATGCAGGCCTGGGCCTCTGAGGCCTAGGACAGACTTCCAGATTTAGCTACCCGTCCTGCTGAACTGGTGCAAACCGGTGCAAACTGACTGAATCCCACCACTGGTTGTAACTCAAGGACTACCAATATATACTGCTTTTCCTTCAGGAGCTTAAAGGATGTAACCAGCATTCCCACCACCCATTTTCCTTTCGGCAGCAACTCTGTGAGGTAGGTTGATTGAGAGAGAATGACCCAAATCATCCCAGGGTTTAAGGTGATCTCAGTTTAACCACTAGCTCATCTTGACTTCTACTTATCAAATGTAACTGCTGGTACATCTTGATCCTTCCTCCAACATTCATTTATCTGATTTCTAATGAAAGCTTTAAAATGACTGCATTTGTTGACGTTACCAATAGATTTTTTTTTCTATTTTCAGACAGCAGGATTTCAGGAGATTCTGACAGAAATAGAAATTTTAGCTTTGATAGTTGGATGTTTATGCCATGACCTTGATCACAGAGGAACAAACAATGCCTTTCAAGCTAAGTATGTTTCCACTATTATTTATTTGTCTTGTTTTAAAAAATGAATATTTTAGAAGTTAGAAATAAATGTTGGTTTCAAAATATGTGTAATCAAATTGAATTTCTTTCTCTATATTTCTTTAAAAGAGCACTTAATACCTTCTAAATTATTTTCTTTATTATGATCATGGTTCCGACTAATGAAACACTTCTACTTTATGTGACATTTATGTGACAAAATGTCGGCACAGGCATGAAGAACGGCAATGCTAAGATCGGAGATCTCCACCCACCAAGCAGTTATTTTTGCTAGCATTTCCACTCCTTATTTTGGGGGCCTACGTAAGAAACGTAGATTCTATAAGAGCCGAGGTGGTGCAGCAGTTAGAGTGCAGTACTGCAGGCCACTTTAGCTGACTGTGTTCAGCAGGTCAGCGGTTCAAATCTCACCGGCTCAAGGTTGACTCAGCCTTCCATCCTTCCGAGATAGGTAAAATGAGGACCCAGATTGTTGGGGGCAATGTAAAATATATATACATTGCTTACTGGTGTACACCGCTTAGAGAGTGCTTGCACTTAAAGCGGTATATAAGTCTCATAAATAAATAAATAAATAAATTTTGCTGTCATGATTTACGTTCTCCAATTAGTGTGAAGGGTAAAGGTTCCCTTCCTTTCCCTTTCGCGGGCTTTTCCCTCCTCCCTCCTTCTTCTCTGCATTAACTCTAAAAATACCAGACAGTTCTGTATATTTTGTCAGAGCAAGAATATACAATATTAGCAGCGTTGACATCTGGTCCCCCTTACAGGAAGGACAGATCCTGTAATGTAAACAAAAGCATATGTTAATGACTAGTTTTCAGTTTGTTGGTGTGTTTCACATGAAACCTTTTGACCAATCTGTCAGCTTTCACTTCACTGGATTTCACCCAGGTGGCTTCAGACAACGGGTATCCCTTCCATTGTACTAGGTACTGCAATTTCCCTTTAAAGATTCTAGAGTCAAGAATACGTTTCACTTCATAGTGGGTCTGTCCCACAACTACGAGGGGCCCAGGTGCCTTCTTCGGAAGAGGTCTTAAAATGGAGCCCCGATAAGGTTTCAACTAGCTGCAATGGAAGACTGGGTGAATTCTCCCTAAACGTCTAGGGAGTTTTAGTTCTACGGTGACCGGATTGATGATCCTTACTATGGGGAAAGGCCCCAAGAATTTTGGTCCCAATTTCTTGCTGGGCAATTTGAGGCGTAGATATTTAGTTGACAAATAAACCTTTTCCCCAACTTAGAATGTTCTTTGGGGAGCCCTCTTTTTATCAGCCTGCTTTTTATAGGTTTCAAAAGTCTTTTTTAAAGCAGTTTTTGTGTTTCTCCAAACTTCATCCCACCCCCTCACCCACTGGTCAAGTGTCTGGGAAGCGGAGGGCACCTGAGGATATTCAGGTATTGGGCTGAACTCTTTTTCCTGTGGCCACTCTGAAAGGCATGTAGCTGGTGCTGCTGTGCACAGAATTATTGTATGCCAACTCCACAAAAAGGAGGAGATCAGTCCAGTTTGTCTGTTGGTAAGAAACGTAGCACCTAAGATATTGCTCCACCATTTTGTTAGCGGCTTCTGCGGCCCCATTGGTGGCCGGATGAAAAGCAGATGATAAACCTTGAGATGATTCAATTAATGTAAGGAAACTTCTCCAAAACTTCGCTGTGAACTGCACCCCCCTGTCTGAAATTATTCACTTAGGGGCGCTATGCAGCCGGTAGTTATGTTTCAGGAACAATTTGGTCAGTCATTGGGCAGATGGGAGTCCTTTGCAGGCGATGAAATAAGCCTGCTTCGAGAACAGGTCTATTACATTCCAGATGACAGTATTTCCACTACTTTCAGGTAGGTCTACTATAAAGTCCATAGCTATTACTTCCCATGGTTGAGAAGGGTCTGCCACAGGTTGCAGTAACCCAGGGGTTTTCCCTGGGATTCTTTTCATTGTGGCACATACAGTACAACTTTTTACATAGTTTTCCACATCTCAGATCTTAGCATGTTGTCATGGTTCCGACTAATGAAACACCTCAAAGAACTTCCAGGCATTTTATCCTAAAAAGTCTCTTTATTTATGTGACAAAATGTCGGCACAGGCATGAAGAAAGGCAATGCTAAGATCTGAGATCCCCACCCACCAAGCAGTTATTTTTGCTAGTATTTCCACTCCCTATTTTGCTGTCATGATTTACATTCTCCAATTAGTGTGAAGGGCAAAGGTTCCCTTCTTTTCACTTTTGCAGGCTTTTTCCTCCTCCCTCCTTCTTCTCTGCATTAATTCTAAAAATACCAGACAGTTCTGCATATTTTGTTAAAGCAAGAATATACAATATTAGCAGCGTTGACACTAAGCTGCTACACATGAATAGCCATCTAACAAAACATTAAATTAGGCAGAACTTTTGTTGAAGTTGCATCTTTATTGACATAACTGCTTATGGCAAAACAGAAAGCACAAAAAATGTTATTCTATAACATTTTAGCAAATATTAAGGAAATAGCCAGCATTTGCATTCAAAACAGAACAAATTCTTTACATAAACAGTGTCTTGTTTTATTAAGACAGGCAGAGTCCCACAGAATGCAGGCTATTTCATGTTTTTGCATGATACTGACAATTTTTTGCAAGTTCCTGGGTTTTTATAACATTATAAACTGTAACTCGGGTCTGCAACCTTGACAACTTCAAGACTTGTGGACTTCAGCTCCCAGAATTCCTCAGCCAGCATAGCATAGCTGTCTGAGGAATTCTGGGAGCTGACGTCCAGAAGTCTTAAAGTTGTCAAGGTTGCAGACCTCTGCTCTAACTGGTTGATGAGTTGGATTATAATTACTCATACACTGCTCAGCTTCATAATAGACAATCTCTCCCAACTACCCACTTGATCCTTAGTGTCTAGTGGTCATGGTTTACTTTATAGGAGAACTTCTTATAGGACAATTGTCTTGTATTACAACAAGATGGACTTTGTAAGGGGCTATGCAAAGTTCTGCCTAATTTGTTATTGCACAAATGAAAGAGCTTATACATAAAGTAATTTTGTACCTTGATTCTACTCAGATTCTACGCAGAACAGTTCCTTCACAATAGTCTCTGTCAAATGACCATTTATTCTCCACTCTTCTGGATTAGCATATCACCTTAATTGACGAACTTAATGGTATGGGATTTTGTGCCAAAGGACCAAAGTCTTTACAGAGAGAGTGCAGGATAGATTTTTGAGGTCACATTCCGTAGTGTCATCATCATCATCTTTAGCAGTTTCAGATTATATTTCAATTTTACGATTTTCAGAGACCTCATCTGAGATAAAGGATACTTCTGCTTCTGGGATAAAGCTTCGGACAGGCAATAACATTCTTTGCCAGTTGGGGAAAAAAATGAAGTAGTTTGATGTAGTATAAACATAAAACACATCAATAGATGAATGTACATTGTAAAATGAACTTTACAGCAAGACATATGCATTGCTTCTGGGAGGCAGACTTTCCTTCACAGGACATTCTAATTTTATCTCTTTTGTTTACACATCTGTTATAAACAAGTATTCTGTTGATGCTTAACTTATTTTATTCCTAGCGTAGTGTTGGGCCAACACAATGTGTTAGATTTCCTGATATAGATACTGTTTATTGTTTTGGGTCAAACTGGAGCACATATTCATTGCATGGTAACTGATCTCATTCAGGCAATTAAGATATCAGAAAGACAAAATTGGAGACGTACCTTATCTAGATTTATTTTCTCTATAATTTTGCAGCCAACAGCCACTAAGTGAATTGTTGTAAGTCGAGGACTACCTGTGCAGTACCCCAAACGAGAAATTCTGTTTACAATTAGGGAGTATTTCTGCAAATATAATTATCTATATTAAGAACTCAGTATCAGGAGTTGTATTATGGCATATATATTTGATACAGAACACTGATAAACACACGCACACTTCCTTGGCCCACCTAGTTGCTAGGCAATAGATTTCAGAAAAACTAATTAGGTCTGCACGCTTAGCGCAGTACAAGGCATTAAGTAAATATGAATCTTTAATAGAATTCTGTATTATAATTGCACCACCAACACTGAATGCAAAATAAATATACATATTAAAAAATCCCTACTATTCAGGACCTGGTATGAAATGGGGAACCTGACTATATCTTCATTTTGGGAAGCATTTTAATATCCAATATAGCATGATGGTATGTGTTGTAGTGCGGCTTGATTCAGAAACCTTTGGTGCACATGAGGAATTATATTCATGTTTCACAGTTCTGTATATCAGCTTTAGTAGAGCAAAGGTGATTGCTGTCTGTGATGCTGGAATAGCAACAAGGATTGCCTTCCATTGGATAAACTAAGCATCAGGTAATGAATTGACTTGGGTGCTAGAACAAGTGAGTTTATGCTAATTTTTAAAAATTCTGCAAGGACATGCCATTTTGTGTTGGGTGGGTGCTTAATGTTAGAGGATTTTTTTTTCCTGCACAATTTACTGGAGCTGTATATGGGAGAAGCCAGTGAAGAATTCTTTGTAACCCCTTTTGAAAGAAATCATCTATCATAGTAAAGAATTTGAAGAGCCACTGATATAAAAAAAATACTCCCGATGCAAGAGGAAACAGAAAAGATAGATAACTCCGAAGCCTAAAACTTCTTTTTATCCGCTTCTTTTCAGTGGGACTGTTACAGTACTGTGTTTTTGTACAGAAACTAAATCTGATTAAATGGTGAAACAGTTACCAAGGCAGTATAAAGCCTAGGGCTTTGGAAGACTGCTAATGGTTTCAGTGGCTAATTAAACAGAGAGGAAGTATAATGCTAGTATGCAAACTTGTTTTAAAGAATGTGTGTTTGGCCTGCAGTTAAAACTGAACTGGCATAACTACTAGATCAAACAATCATCATTTTAGTTGCATGGAGCTCTGAAATTATCAAGTAAGTTCTAGGCTAAAAATAGCATGCAAAATGAATGTATTATAAAAAAAAAGGTTTATCGCTGTATACTAACAAGAAAAATAAAATCCAGTTGCCTTTTGAAAAAGCACCTCTGGGACAACCATGTTCTGGATGACTGAGAATCTCCATAGACACAAGAATGATAATACAAAATGAAGATTTTAAGGAAATTAGAAGAAATAAGCTTTTGACTGTTGAATGTAAAGCAGATTACATTCAAACAGATTTCCTGTTCCATCCCTGTTTTGAAAGATTAATATTTCGTTTGAATACTTCTCTATAATGCCAAAAGTATGAGGTGGGCTAGGTTAACTTAAGATCAGTTCTGGCAGTGAGTAGAAGATGGAAAAACTACAGCTGAGTCCACCCTGGCAGGCTGCTGCATTAACTCAGTAGTAAAATGCAAGTTTTTATGAGGCTTAACAGTGGATGTCTACTGAGAAGGCTCTTTGTTCCTGTCTGAATTCGTACCATTTGAGATTTTTCTGGCAGTGGATGCTCTTGTACAATCTTGAACAACAGTGCTTGTGCCAGATAAATCAAATTTAAAAAATGGATGAATTCTTGCAGGAATAGCAAAATCTGGCACATGAAACATTGACAAGAAACTAAAAAATGTCCATGTACAACAAGATTTTAAGTTCAAATCTGAAACCAGGTGCACACCAAAATTATATGAGATTTGAGACTTTGCAAGATTCAAACATTGTTAAAACTGCATTATTTTATGAAATGGATATTAATCAAATTACAAACCATTTAATCTAAAGATTATTTTTTAACTTGTCTAATTATTATTTTTTTATAAAGAGCATAATTTACTGGTAAACCATCAGTCTATACCTGCCACTTGTATTGAGTTCCGTGAGCTTATGCAGGGAGAACACGGTCTTTTTGTAATGTTAAAGAAATAACTGAAAGGTTATAGCACATGGTGACATAGTGTATTAAGTATAATGATAACAGTTGTTATTATCCTGACATGTTGTGATTTGTGGTTGGAAAGACTGTAAATTTAAGCCTCACCTTTCCCATTTCTTTCCTAACTTGGGTGGGGAGGGTTCAGTACAATGAAAGATTGAGAGGAGTGTGATTGAAAACAGTATCACAGCCTGTTAATCCATTTCACTGCTGTTTCCTCTGGGGGACAATGTTCTTAGTAATTTTCTCCTCTTTCTCTCATTGCAGCTGCCCCGTGATGATTAAATATCTGGGTAGTATAACTTTGCAATATAATCTCCTATATTCATTCCAAACAAAAATCAAAATAATTTCTTCAACTATGCATATATACATAAGCATACACACACCAATAACACCAAGCCTCATCTGTCACTTTAGAGTGCTTTCTGGTAGGGAAATAGTGATATGTGTTCATCTCTTGTGATATAATCTCTTGTAATCCTTGTGTGTTCCATCTTTTAACAATTACCAGTTTTGTCATTATAATTCATACTTTCTTTGAAGAATTAAATTTAGCATTTTAAATGTACTACAATCTATGTTTGTGTAGACATGGTTAGTTACATAGCTATGCAGATATTAAACATATAAAACTTAAACTGAAACATTAACAGCACCTGTATGCGTATTTAGTCAGGGTTATATCCCATTTTTAGGTAGGTAGGTAGGTAGGCAAGTAGGTAGGTAGGTGGGTGGGTGGATGGATGGATGGATGGGTGAGAACAATCAACCAATGGAACAGACTGTCTTCAGATGTTGTTGGTCCTTCATTACTGGAAGCTTTCAAGAAGAGACTGGACTGGCATCTGTCAGAAATGGTGTAGGGACTCTTGCTTGGGGGTTGGACTAGATGACCTACAAGGTCCCTTCCAAGTCTGTTAGTCTACTCTACCAAAATATATCAAAAGAGATCTTTCTGTTTTTCTTCCCTCATCTGGTGAATGTGCAGATTCCGATCATGAATTATACATATCTAAATTTAAACTGTGGCAGAAACCTTTGACAGCTCTATTTTGGAGCCTTTCTTCTCCAAGCAGAATTTAAACAATTTTAAAGAGATAAAAGAAATATAGCACTTCACCAGTTCATTTCAGAGCCCAGCTCAGAAAAAAAACATTACCAATGAAGAAACCATTGTCCCAGTGACTGAAAAAGATCAGATTGTGTAGATAAGATAAATCAGCATCACCGCTCATATTGTGTTTATATGCTGAATAGATCTATGATCTGAATACATATCCCTGTTATAACCCTTCCTTTAGCCCTCCCTTTCTCATTCTGGAATGGTGGCATAGATGGAAAACAGCGAGTTTGGAAAGGTTAATGGTCTGTGCTACAAAACAGAAAGATTGGGATAGCATTTCTCTCATCATTTGATAATCTCAGAAGCATGTGCTGAAAGAATGTCATATGTTGCATTTTTTTCAGGATTGGGTCTGCTTTAGCTCAGCTCTATGGGACATCTGCCACTCTGGAGCATCACCATTTCAACCATGCTGTAATGATTCTTCAGAGTGAGGTACAAAAACCATGGATTATCCCATCTCTTCTTCTTTTCTAAAAATAACTGTCAATAGCTGCTTTATTATAGCATATCTAAAAAGTTATTTTGTCTGCCAGCACATAGAAAACAGATTCTGAATTCCATATATGGCACTGAGTTTTATGATATGACTTATGTAATATTTACTCCCAAAGCAAAATATTTCCAAAAAGCAAAAACAGTTTTGATTATTTTAATTGTAAGCTGCCCAGAGTCGCTTTGCAGAATCAGAAGAGTGGCATATAAATTTAATAAATAAATATGCTTAAAAAGGTTTTGATTTTTTCTTTACTATTAGAGCTGTAATGTTCTTAGTAATATATTTTCTCTTATAGGAAGATATAAGTAAATATTTTTTTTCCTAAATATAGACCGGCATTACCTCTTCCTAATTAGAGTAACTATTAATTCTGGTATTAAATTATTCAACAGCTTTTCGATTGAACAGAAGTTTATGGGTTGAGTTGCTGGAGTTGGGAGGGAAAAAAAACATTGTTTAAAGTTTTGCATTTATGAGGTTGAAAGTTTTTCTCCAATGAACCTGCTCTGTTATTTGAATGTGTACATAGAATTTTATATTAGTATGTTTAATGAATTCTAGATGAATAATTTCTGTTTCTTGAATTCAGATTTTGATGTAATTCACACTTACATAACTACTATAAAAATATTTACATTAATATAGATTCCTTTTCCAGAATGAGTTGGATTTGTTTTTGTAAACAGAGATGACAGAGAAAAAATTTATTATAGTAGTGAAAGTTCCAGAGAAATCAGAGCAGGACCAGGCAAGAAAATGGTAAGTGAGCACCTGTCCACCCTAGATGAGTTCAAATCACCAGGACCAGATGGATTACACCCCAAGGTTCTGAAGGAACTGGCAGATGTGAGCTCAGAACCATTGAACTATATCTTTCAAAGATGCTGGAGCACTGGGGAATTACTAGAGGACTAGAAAAGAACTGATGTAGTTCCCATCTTCAAAAAAGGAAAAAAAATGGATCCAGGAAACTACAGGCCTATGAACCTGACCTCAATACCTGGGAAGATCTTGGAAAAAATAATCAAACAATGAATCAGCAAACACCTAGAGGCAAACAAAGTCATTACCAAAAACCAACATGGGTTTGTCAAAAACAGATCATGCCAAACAAATCTTATTGTATTCTTTGACCAAGTGACAAAATTAGTGGATCAGAGAAATGCTGTGGACATAATTTACTTGGACTTCAGTAGGCATTTGATAAAGTAGATCACAACCTACTATTTGATAAGATAGAAAAATGTGGATTAAACAGCATCACCACCAGATGGATTAGCTGGCTGACCAGCTGTACTCTGTGTGGTCCTCAGTGGAACTGCATCTACATGGAGGGAAGTGTGTAGTGGGGTGCCCCAGGACTCTGTTCTGGGCCCAGTGCTCTTCAACATCTTCATCAATTATTTGGATGAGAAGATAGATGGGGAACTCATCAAATTTGCAGATGACACTAAGCTGGTAGGAATAGCCAACACTCCAGAAGATAGGCTGAAGATACAGAAGGATCTTGACAGACTTAAACATTGGGCGCTATCTAACAAAATGAAATTCAATGGTGAAAAAAGTAAAGTTCTACATTTAGGCAAGAAAAACCAAATACACAGGTATAGTATTTGTGGTACCTTGCTCAATAATAGTAACTGTGAGAGGGATCTTGGAGTCCTAGTGGACAATCATTTAAATATGAGCCAGCAGTGTGCTGCAGCTGCCAAAAAAGCCAACACAGTGCTAGGCTGCATTAACAGAGGGATAGCATCAAGATCACATGAAGTGTTAATACTATTTTACAATGCCTTGGTAAGGCCACACTGCATCCAGTTTTGGTCACCACAATGTAAAAAAGATGTTGAGACTCTAGAACAGTGGTTCTCAACCTGTGGATCGGGACCCCATTTGGGGTCGAACGACCATTTCACGGGGGTCGCCAAACAAGGCTGTCCACCATTTTTCCCCCTTTTCTTTGGACACGGCCCTGGCAACCGGTGATGTATAAGTGATTGGGGGTCACCACAACATGGGGAACTGTATTATGGGGTCGCGGCATTAGAAAGGTTGAGAACCACTGCTCTAGAAAGAGTACAGAGAAGAGCAACAAAAATGATTAGGGGACTGGAGGCTAAAACATATAAGGAACGATTGCTGGAATTGGGTATGTCTAGTTTAATGAAGAGAAGGATGAGGGGTGACATGATAGCAGTGTTCCAATATTTCACAATGCCACAAAGAAGAGGGAATCAAGCTGTTCTCCAAAGCGCCTGAAGGCAGGACAAGAAGCAACGGATGGAAGCTAACCAAAGAGAGAAGCAACCTAGAACTAAGGAGAAATGTTCTGACAGTTAGAACAATTAATCAGTGGAACAACCTGCCTCCAGAAGCTATGAATGCTCCAAACTGGAAGTTTTTAAGAAGAGACTGGACAGCCATTTGTCTGAAATAGTATAGGGTTTCCTGCCTGAGCAGAGAGTTGGACTAGATGACCTCCAATGTCCCTTCCAATTTTATTATTATTATTATTATTATTATTATTATTATTAGTAGTAGTAGTAGTAGTAGTAGTAGTAGTAGTAGTAGTAGGACTCTATTAGCATATTATTGGATGGAGCGTAGATAATTTGCTATTGTCTACAATTTATCTTAGAACTTAGAAAGAAACACTCTATTATGATTTATGTTGATTATTTAGTATCCTGTGACTATCATTGAGTGTTGTATCTTAGGATTTATGATGATTGTATTTTATGATTATGATCATGATTTATCACTTGTTGCTTGTGTGTACACTGATAGCTTATGCATTGAAGACAAATTCCTTGTGTGTCCAGTCACACTTGGCCAATAAAGAATTATATTGTATATGGGTCAAAAAAAAAAAAAAAGAACATTTCAAGAGAACATCTAAAGTGGACTCAGCTTTAAAGAGTTTATAGCATCTTTTGCATATTTACATCAAAACAACCTTTACTGAAATTGAGATTTATGAGCATAGATATAGATTTAGGATTGGTTGGATAGCCTAATAGTAATCAGTATTTTATCTCCCTGTAAGATACATGAATTGTTTGTTTACATTTATGTAATCACCCACCTGCTACCATAGCTATTCTGGGCAGATAACAACAGATTAAAAACACTTTACAAATAAAAACCGAAAACAACTAACATAAAACTTCAGTTTTAAAGAAAAAGCTAAGTTCTTTAGGTTGAAATTTCCATAGGTTGTTCATCAGTTTATGTGCAAACAAAACAAAAGTATATGGACAATATTTTTATTTACCAGGCCATACTTTTAGTCCAGCAGAAATATCTAGCATTACATCTTAAGTATAGCAGCTGAATGAAATATGTTTACTATGATTTCATTACAATTTATTTAAAAAAAAAGATTTCTTGCAATAGTGACTTATTGGAAAAATTCTTCTATTGATTCTGAGCTATTTAGCTTTGCTCTCTCTTTCATTATAGGGTCACAACATCTTTGCTAATTTGTCCTCCAAGGATTACAGTGATCTTATGCAGCTTCTGAAGAAGTCAATACTGGCAACAGACCTCACTCTCTATTTTGAGTAAGTATTGGCATTTTCTAATTTTGATAAATGAAATTCTGAAAGAGCTGCAATCCCCAACAACAGTGTTTAAATATCAGCTAGAGCACTGGGTAGAGAATACTATAAGTTAGTATTTACTCATCATTTTAATTATTTACAGCAGGGGTGGGGAACAATGGCCCTTTTATGACTTGTGGACTTCAAACTCCCAGAATTCCTGGAGCCAGCCATGCCAGTCATATTCTACATATGAAAGCCAGGGTAGCTTAGTGATTAAGGTGTTGGACTAAGACTAGATAGACCCAGGTTTTGGTTCACCTTCAGCTACAGGAATTGCCTGAGAAAAACAGTCATTCTCTCCCTCAGCCCAACTCCACCTCACAGGGTAACCTTTTATATTAAAACAGGTAGTTAAATAATGAAGTTGCTTTATCTTCTAATCTGATTTTGTAAGATATTAGTAATACCGTTACAATTATTTACAAGCAAGATGTAAGTACAGATAGTCCTTGACTTACAACCATTTGTTTAGTGACCAGTCAAAGTGTCAACGGCACTGAAAAAGGTGACATGACCATTTTTCATACTTACGGCCATTGCAGCATCCCCATCATCATGTGATCAGGATTTGGACACTTGGCAACTGGCATGTGCTTATGACGGTTGCAATGTCCTGGGGTTCTGTGATCACCGTTTGTAACCTTCTGACAAGCAAAGTCAAAAGGGAAGCCAGATTCATTTAACAACGGTGTTACTAATTTAACAACTTCAGTGCTTCACTTAACAACTCTGGCAAGATAAAGTCACTTGGATTTGTTCCCAGTTAGATGTTGGCCTTCCTGCAGGTCCAGAAAAAATGCCAAGAGAAGAGTCTTGCCCAGTTGTCTGGGAACAATTAGAACCTGTTGGACCTGAGGAAATGGGAAGTTCCTCAGGACTGTGAGCTCAGCTATCTGGTCTTTAACTCCATGCCCTTCCTGGTTTGTCAAAGTGGACTGGGAGGTGTCTTGTGAATGGGTTCTGGTGTTAGTGAATTCTTTGAATGAGGGGGTTCCTTTACTTCTTAAAGAATATGTGGTTCACTCTCTTCTCAAGAGGCCATTGCAGGACCCCACAATATGGACAATTTTCATCCAATATCGCACCTTCCTTTGGGGGGGAGGAAGGTGGTAGAAGTGGTTGTGCAACAGTTTCAGAGGCTTTAGAGAAAGAGGATTATCTGGATCCCTTTCAGTAAGGAATTAAACCTAGGTATGGAATGGAAGCAGCATTGGTTATGTTTTTGGATGGCCTGTGGCATGGGTGGGATGTTTGTAGTGCAACCATCCTTGCCCTATTAGACCTCTCGGGGGTTTTCAGTACCATCAACCATGTTGTCTTTCTAGATCAGCCCAGAGAATTGGGGATGGGCATTACAATGTTATGCTGATTTGCCACCTTCATTCAGAGCCAATTTCAGTTAGTGTTGATCAGGGATGAGAAGTCCCACTCTTGCTCTACTATGTGGGGTGCACAGGGTTTGATGCTTTCTCCTCTCCTTTTTAAGATCTATGGGGGGGGGTCCTCCTAGACTCACAACTTCTGCTCAAGAAATAGATGGTAGCTAGGCTAGCTAGCTTGCACAATTTCATCTGTTCCACCTGTTGCACCCATCCCTGAATCAGGAATTAGAGTCACTCATGTCCTGGTCAATTGCAATGCACTGTCATGGAGCTGCCCTCAAAAAAAAATTCAGCTGGTACAGAATGCAGTGGAACGGATGTTTACGTGCATTCCTAGAGCAGCAAATGTTATACAAGCTGCATTTGCTTCTGAGTTTAATTCAGGGTGCTGGTTTTAACCTTTAAACACCATCATAGCATAGGATGAGTTATCTGAGAGCCCACCTCTCCCTGGTTACATCACTCTCTCCCGCTAGATCTGGTAGAGTAGGCATGTTGTGAATACCAATGGTAGGGTCCTTCATTTTGTGAGCTCCAGGAGATATGCCTTCTCTGCCATGGCACCCGTCTTATGAAATATTCTTCCCCCTGAAATTAGGTTAGCTCCATTCCTTTTTGATATTCTTTAAAGACCTCAAGTTTTGGCTATATTGTCAGGCCTGTGGCTCCCAAGGAACCAGAGAATTGTGCAGATAGCTCCATTGTTGAGGTGACCATTTTTATCCTCCCTGCCCTGTGGTTTGTATCATTTGCTTTTACAATATTTATTACTAAGTTTTTTTAAAAAAATATTGCACGTGCTTGTTTTTATTTATTGTTTTTATCCTGACTGTTGTTTGCCACCCAGAGTTGTCTTCACTAAGATGGGCAGCTATATAAATAAATTTAATGAACAATATTCAGTAGAAGCAGTTTGCATACCAAAGTCTTCAAGAACTGCTTTCTGGCACTGCAGAATAAAGTTGTGCTTGAAAAACAATGCAGCTCTTCTAGAAATCACTGCCGATTCATTCCTCCCTATGTGGAATTGTCAAGTAAGGCACATTAGCCTGTGCAAATCATTTGATGAGTGAAGTGCTTCCCTCTTGAAATCTCAGTGCAGCTATTTCAAGGCCCTTCAAGGTCTTTTGTATGTGCATACTTGACTAAAGAAGTATTAAGTAGCTCTTTAGAACCTTTATTTTATTGTATAATAATGGGAAAATTAAGAATTAACACATTGAAAGTTATTTTTTATCATCAATCTGCAGTGTTTTCCCTGATTATATATGCTGGATTTCTACTCCAAGAATTCCTAACAAACCTAATTGAGGGGGAATTCTGTGAATGAAATCTAACTCATCTGGAAGGCATGAGGTTGAATAAAATATGATCAAGGGCCATGGAAGATGCATAAGTTTGGAGAGTTAATTTCAGACATTGTGCATTTCTAATTTGGGGGAGAACAGTAAAAATTAAATAATAAATTGCCATCCCTTCTGCCCTTAATTATTACAAATCTGTAACTGGCAGTATATGGTGAATGGGCTGTTATGAGACATCTCCTCCCATTATACCTTAGCTGCCTGGAACAATCTAAACTATATACTCTAGGTCAGGGGTCTTCAAACTTGGCCTTTTATGATTTTGTGGACTTCAAGTCCCAGAATTCCTCAGCCAGGCACGTTGGCTGAGGAATTCTGGGAGTTGAAGTCCACAAGTCATAAAAGGGCCAAGTTTGAAGACCCCCTGCTCTAGGATGTGCTAAGTTTTACTTGTTACAAAAAAGGATTATTTAGCACATTTTTCTTGCTAATTTCCGCATATTTTAAATAAATTTATGGGAATGAATTTTCATACACCTAGTCCTGATCTGACTTTTCCCATAAGCCATGTGGTAGTATGGAGGCCGGAGCCTAATAAAATTTTAAAGTTCAATCTGGATATGTGCTGATGTGTTGTGTTACAGGCCCTGGGAAATTTTTTGTTTTGTTCTTACTTTTTAATTACTGCTTTTGAATACCCAGGATATTGCTGCCTAAGATGGGCAGCTATGTCGTTCTCTGTTTGGTTTGTAATGTTGTAATATTTGGTTACAGGAAGAGGACTGAATTTTTTGAACTTGTCAACAAAGGAGATTACAACTGGAATGTTAAATATCAGCGAGAGGTATTCCGGTGAGATCTTTCTCTTGGGTAAAGTTCCCCTGGCATAGAAACTGAGGCATTTTGTAGGGACAGGTGGCCAAATTTCTCCCAGTGGTTTTAGAAGTGCAGAGTTAATTTGCAGGCATCATAGTCATGCAAAACATTTTGAATTTGAAATATTTCATATTCAAAAACATCTTATCCTGAGTCCAAAAGTGATTATTCTGAATTCAAAATAGGTTGTTTTAACATTCTGGAATTCTTTGGAGCTCAAAACATTTCCAAAAAGGTCAGAACAATCCATTTGGAAATGGAAACTGCTTCAAACTCTAAATGTTTTGGACACCTCTGGTATATCTTTATTATGAATGTCAAAGAGCACTGCTTCTTGAGTCTATCCACACTTGACACCAAAAAACCCCTCCCTAAGCTTAAGTGCTTTCATTAAAAACACGTTTAAGTATTTCCAGTAAAGATTATGATCAGGTCTTACATTCTGGGGTTTCCAAATGTCCTGATTTTAGCAAAGCGTGGAAATCCTCTGAATATTTGCCATAATTCCTGAGATCAGTAATGTGTGATTGTATTTATTTATAGTCCAAGATTATTTTTTAAAAAAAATCAACAGTATATCAGATATCAAAAAATAAAGCCACAACAAACTTGTATAGGAAAGCCTAAAGCAGTGGTTCTCAACCTGTGGGTCGGGACCCCATTTGGGGTCAAACGACCATTTCACGGGGGTCGCCAAACAACGCAGTCCGCCATTTTTTTTCCTCTTTTCCTTAGCTGTGCTACTCCCTTTTATTCTATTGGCTTTTGAAAGCCAATAGAATAGACTCTCTTGAATAGAGTCTAATTCTATTGGCTTTCAAAAGCCAATAGGAATTGTCCAGGCTGTCTCTGCCCTGCTGAGCCCGCCAAAAGTCCCATTCTGCAAACGGTGCTGCACCAGTTGAGTAGTCCTCGACTTACGACCGGTTGAGTAGTCCTCGACTTACGACCGGTTGCGGGTCGCGGCATTAAAAAGGTTGAGAACCACTGGCCTAAAGCAATTAGTAGTGTGAAGGAGGCTCCAGGTGGCTTCTACAAGCTATAACTATTGTTAGAAGTTTGGCACCCTTTTTAAAAAAAACAGTTTGGTAAGAGGGAAAAAAAATGAAACAATCTTATATTTATTTGTTAAATTTATATTGCATATTTCCATCATGCTGCCCTTTCCTTAAACAGTCACAACACCTATTCTCCCAGGTTTGTTTTCATTTGGAAGGAGAAATCACTAAATATTTAAGGGCTGGTTGAATATTTTAATGTATTACAAGTGTAATATTACGGGATATATGAAAAAAAACTGCATAGCAACCCCTACAAAAAAAGCAAATCCATTAGCTGATTTAGATCACATTCTCAATTAAGGCATCTAGGTTTCCACAGATTATTTTAATTGTCAGTTCGCCTTCTGTCTATTTCCCATGTGCATGTAGAGTTACTTTTGCTCATTGTCTCCAAATCTGCATTTTAGTTACATCCGGGAGTATCTGTGGAGTGGGTCAAAAAAAAGGTGAAGATGACAATTAAGCATTTACTGTCATTTTTCCCATTTATTTATATTGTCTTTTTAAATTAATTCTTAAAAAAGTGAAGATGACAGCCTTGATCGTGTAGTTGTAACCATTATTTTAACTTTTTTTTACTACTCCTTCCAAATGCCTCTGATTCTGTCTTCCATGCGCAGGTATAGAGAAGGTACCCGTTGCAGAAAATTGTCCCTTCTTAAATTGTCCCTTTGGGAAGAAAAAGCTGCTTTCTTGATATGTTACATGGGTCATAAGGGCTCCTCTAAATCAATGTTCCTTTATGTGATGACCTCCAGAGACAGCTGGATTTTAACTCCTATAAAACATAAAGTCCTGCCTTTGGCATAAAAGACAGCTGGATAACTTTGGGCCAGTCGCTCTCTCTCTCTCTCTCAGGCTATGATGTCAGGCCTGGGCAATAAGTGGGTTGGTCAATTCCTGTGGCAAACAGTGGGATTAATACTTGGTTGATCCAGAAGAAATAGCAGACCCTGAACTTGTGGGAAAACACTAGGAAGAAAAAAAAAATGCATAAAGCTATGCAGGCTGCAAATGATGTGTACATGTAGGCCTCAACTTACAACAGTTCATCTAGTGACCGTTCAAAGTTATAGTGGCACTGAATATAGTGGCACTGTTTTTCACAGTTATGACCTTTGCAGCATCCCCATGTTCACGTGATCAGAATTCAGATGCTTGGCAACTGGTTCATATTTATGACCGTTACTGTGTCCCAAGGTCATGTGATCCCCTTTTGTGACCTGAGAAGCAAAGTCAATGGGGAAGTCAGATTCACTTAACAACCGCGTTGCTGATTTATCAGCTGCAGTGATTCACTTAACAACTGAGGCAAGAGAGGTTGTAAAATGGGAAACTCACTTAACAAAATGTCTCACTTAACAACAGAAATTATGGGCTTAATTGTGGTCGTACGTTGAGGAGTACCTATAGTATATTTTGACACAACCTCATGGCACAAAGTTTGAGAAGGCTAACTTAGATGGTCCGTTGTAACTCTGGCAATCTTCTTTACACCATAAGAAGCTCAGTGAATGTGTTCAGACTGGGAATATGCAGTATAAACATCAGTATCTAAGTATTTTCATCTGTGTGGGATGAAACATACTCATGAAAGGAGCTATTCTTTAAGTCTTTGTGTTTTTAGATGAGGTGTAGATAATTTTCTATTCTTCCATATTTCATCCATTCCTGATTTTAGAATATGGATAATACATTTACTTTTATAAAAATCCCCAGTTTTCTTGCTGTTCTTCTGGACTTCCTTATAGTTTAATTTGCATTGTGCATTGTACATAAATGCTTTCTCCATTTGAGTAATTGCTATCTCCCAACACTTATAAAACATATTGTAGCCAGGTATTAAACTACATTGAGATGGAGTAATCCTTACAATAATCTTGAATATTTATTTTGGACGAACGATAGAAACTGTTCAAATAGTGTCTGGAATGCCTCTCACAATCATTTTCTCAGTACAGTAGCCAGTTATATCCAGGCAAAGACTATCCCAAACTGTATTTATTACATAATTTCCTTTTATCACATCATGGCATTCCAACTAACTAGTGCCCTACTGTATATTTATTCATCAAACTACAACAGCAAAATAAGTAGGTTGGTTTGCAGTGAAACATGTATCTTTTGTAACACTCAATAGTTAGCATTGAAAAGTCATTATCTGATTATATCTATAATGCATTAGTTTTCATCTATCTAATGACATAAAAACAGTGACTATTCAAATTCCAAACTGTGCCATGCATTAAATTGGCGAAGGAGGTGTAAAGTCTGACTCTTAAAAAATGCCTCATGTATTCAGGATGAATTTGTTTAGAAAACCAACAAAGCTTTGTTCCATTTTTATTGTTCATTTCTGTTTTTCAGATCAATGCTAATGACAGCCTGTGACCTTGGCGCTGCAACAAAACCATGGGAGATTTCAAGACAGGCAAGTCATGATTAATAGCAGCACAAGAAAGAGGAGGTTCTATCCCAACAATTTTCCCAGGAACCTGACACGGAAAGGGCCAAATCTGCATTAAAAATATCACAGATCTTCTGCTACGTGTAGTTTATTGCCCAGTCTTTTTCTTTTTCTTGCTTAATTGATAACATTGAATAGTATTAAGAGTATTTCAAGAGACTTTACTTCCATAATCACATAATCAATTATGGTGAACATTTCCATTGTATTAAAAATGTGAATTAAAAAGAAATTTGGCATACCTAATTGACAGTGCTTTAATGTCCATCCTGGCATAAAATATTGAAGGCAAAGACTTATCATAAATCTTTATGAAAAATCTTTTTTTTTTTAGTTCAAAACTTTACTTAAAATTATTTGAGGGATTGCTTAGGTTATTTTTGCCCAACTTGATGCATTCATCCAGAATTCCTAGCATGGCCAGTATAAGCTTAATAAAACTGGCAATAGCATTTTCTCCTCCACAGGGAATAATATAAAAAGATTTCATTTATTTGTATGCTACAGATAGTCCTTGACTTATGACTAGTGCCTAGTGATCTGTCAAAGTTACAACAGATCCCTGAAAAACTACTTAGAACCTAATTTCAAAGAGACAGCCATTGCAATGCCCCAGCAGTCACATGAACAAAATTTGAGTGCTTGGCAAACCGCCTGCTCTTATGACCTTCATCAGCAATATTGCAGCTCCCCCTGCCCCCCCCCATCCCAATGTGAGAACAGGACTATACATTTGTTTATTTAGTGAAATTATACTCTAAATTGAATAGATAGGAATTACAGAATGTTTTATGCAAATACAGAGTTGAAGTTGCTGAATGACAGTAAAACAATGGAAATAAAACATGCAAGAGAATAAATGGATGCTTAATAAATTACTCAACATTACATGAGGAGGAAGAAAGGCTGTCTGACCAATCCTTGGTTATTTGTGCAGTTGTGGATAAATATGTTACGAATGCTTGTGCTGATGTGTGAGATGTGTTGGTTGGAAATCTGAATGTGTTTTTGCAGTGTTGACTGAGAATCCAAATGATTTGCAGCGAATGTTATATAGTTGTATGACACAACAAGGAACGTGGATTTGAAATTTTATGCATCTATAAAAGTGAATGGCATGTATGAAATGAATATATTGAAGTGATTTGGACATATTGAGAGAGTGAATGAAGATCAAATTAGAAAACAAGTACAAGGATGAGTGAATGTATCAAGAGAAAGGTATGTATCAATGTATCAAAGAAGTCATGGTTGGATGGCCCTGATGACAACATCAAAAAAAAAAAGACAGTTCAAGTTTAAACAAGAGAAAAGAGTATATGAAGCAGTGTGTAAACATGTTTGAAGCATGGAGGGTTTGCAAGGGTTAAAAAAGTATGGAGAGATATAGTGAAGGTATTACTGGATAGTAAATTAAGCTATGTTGTCTTTTGTCCTAGCTTATGTTTTAATTTCCTTGGTTTATTATTTATTATTCCTTTTCTGCTCTTTGCATAACATTGCAAAAAATAGCATGACAGAAATATATTATGCCTAAATATTCACCTGATAGTCAAATACATATTTGTATTTAATCTTAATAAAGGTTTCAGTCTGGAATGCATTTAACAATATAAACCATAATTTGATCTTTTTGTATGCATTTTAGGTAGCTGAACTGGTAACAAGTGAGTTCTTTGAACAAGGGGACAGGGAGAGATCTGAGTTGAAACTCACACCTTCTGTAAGTTAACCACATTTGTAATTATCACTTGCTGTAGAGCATGGGTGTCAAACTCAATCATGTCACGTGACATATCGTGACTTTTTGCCTTTGCGGAGCCAGGGTGAGCATGGCCTGTGCGTGACGCATCCGGCCTGCAGGCCACCAGTTTCACACCCTTGCTATAGAGTAAGCAAACATAGTGTAATGTACTATAAAGTAGTGTCGTATGATATGATGATGTGATATAATTGATATTCTAACTGTATTCTTTCTCACTATCACTCTGCATGATAATTGAGCTGTGCAAAGCTTTGGATTCCATTCCCGAAAGATACTTTGAATCATGCTAGATAGGATCTGGGTTGCAAAACTCTAGACAATCACTAGATTGCAGCAATAATTTACTGTTCTTTGTATTGTTCTGCTGCCATCTGATGGCCCTATGAATTTTTGCAGCTCAGATCTGATAACCATACTTCTCAGAAGTGTGTGAAACCGAACACAATGGAAATTACTTTAAACTGGAAGCAGGAAGAATTGCACTGCACTTCTCCAAAATGAATAGTAAAAACAGTGTTTTATATATTTATTTTTTCCTATTTTCTTATGCAATGTAAATGCCGACAATGGATCGTATTTGTTTGATACTAAGGAATTACATCGTAAAGCAGTCAAATAAATGAAACTTCTATATTCCCTAAACAGGGCCAGAGAATAATAAATAGTTTATTTTTCATTCTAGACCAAAGACAGGAAAATGTGTGTAAAGATTGATTATGGTTTTCAAAGTGTCCCGTTTATAACAGTTTGATCCTAGATCCAAAGTATTGGATGAAGCAGCTTCTGTAAAATACTCTAGAGTAATAAAGCATGACACATTCCTCTTCTCTGCTCAGGCGATATTTGATCGGAACAGGAAAGATGAACTGCCTCGATTCCAGCTGGAATGGATTGATAGTATCTGCGTGCCTCTCTATCAGGTAATTGTGCATATTGCTGGTGCAGAGTTAAAAGAAGGCCCTGGGGGGTTTGCTTCTCAGCAAATGGAGGAAGGAGGAGAGGGAGATGATGTAACAATTTTTGCAGCTTTTTCCATCTCACAGACCCTATGCGTTTCATTTTCCTCTCTGGAGGCATAAACTACACTTGATAAAGCAGCAAAGGTACTTGTAATGGAGGAATCTATGCAATGAAATGAGTAAATATATACCAGGGCAAAATCAGCGCAGTCTGTCAATAAAGAAAACAAATCAGATATGAAATAATTGTCTTCCTCTACTCTTCACTGACCTTCCTTTGTCTGTACTTTCATGCTCTTAATCTGTTGGTTTCGGTTCATAAGTTGCAAGAACCATCGCAGCATTTTGTATTTTCATCTCTTGTTTATTTGTTATGAAAATAATTGTTGTCGTTGTTGTTATCGTTAATATTAATTTTTTTTTAATTTTCTAAAAGATAAAACTTCTACTACAACACAAACAATGCAAAGTATTTTCATTTTTAAGCAAGTGCTCCATTTCAGAGTTACAGACAGTTCTGCTTACAGATGAGTTACATTCTGAGAGGCTCTTCCTAAGTCTGTTTGGTTTGCAAGTCCAACAAATATAAAAAAAAAAAAACATGTGCAGTGCGGTTCTTGCCTTACATGGGTGGCAGTATCAAGGTAAAACCTGGCAATGATGGCATAGGCTCATCCTCAGGAGTAGAAATGGCACATTTCTCCACTTTCCCGAAGAAGCAGTCCAGTGGGCTTTGAATAATAATAGTAGTAGTAGTAGTAGTAAAGTTGGAAGGGATCTTGGAGGTCATCTAGTCCAACCCCCTGCTTAGGCAGGAAATCCTATACCATTTCAGACAAATGGCTGTCCAGTCTCTTCTTGAAAACTTCCAGTGTTGCAGCATTCACTGCTTCTGGAGGCAGGTTGTTCCACTGATTAAGTATTCTAACTGGCAGGAAGTTTCTCCTTAGTTCTAGGCTGCTTCTCTCCTTTCCGTCCATTGCTTCTTGTCCTGCCTTCAGGCACCTTGGAAAATAGCTTGACTCCCTCTTCTTTGTGGCAGCCCCTGAGATATTGGAACACTACTATCATGGCAGGAGGAGGGCAAGAGAGGGAGGTTGGGGTTCCAGTGAACTACATACATGCGTTGCACATGGAAAGCGAACCAACTTTTCTCAACCTTCTTGTTTGGTCAAGTTTGTTCATATTGACAAAACTCGACAGTATGTTAATGGCGTAAGGCCAGTACTCCTAAAATTTGGTGAGCATGTGCTAGTCAGATAAGAAGCACTTAGGACACTACAGAAAACTATTGACCTTCAGGAGACACTTCCATATTTTTGGCCAAGATTATGATTTTGACTTCTTTCTTAGTTCTTATTTCATATTCCTCTGCGCAAGTCCTTTATGCAGCAGTCTTTCCTGTTGTGCTTTTTAAGACAGGTTTTGAACTGACTTGCATTTTAATTGTACATTTTATTAAAACATACCAATGCAGGTTAATATGGATGCTAGTAATTTTTAAAATTGTTTTAAAATTGAGTTTATACATTTTTATTTCATTGGTACTGATTTTTTTTCAAAAGAATGTTACAATACGTTTTAATGGAATTCAGGGTTAATATACTTCTACAGCTGCACTTAGAATAATGCCAAATAGACCTCATATTACTCAAAATTAGAGGAAAGAAGTTGGATTGATTTATTTGCATGTTTATTCGTCCATCCCCATTTCTAAGCTTACCCAACTCCAAATACGACTCTGATCAGGTTCACAAAATTAAAAACATGATATAAAAAGGAATAATGAAGAAAATCATCTACCATACTCACCAATCGTCCTAACCAAAGGCTTGACAGAAAAGTTGTGTTTTTACAGCTCTTTGAAGACAGGTAGCAAGTTTCTGGGGAAGATGCTGTTTCAGAAAGCAATAGCTATAACAGAGAAGGTCTGCTTCTTGGTTCTTGCTAGATTGCATTGTTTAGTTGATGGGACTTAAAGCAAGAAGATTCTATCTGATTGTTCAGGAGGGACAGACACCATGAGATCAGATGATCCCCCAGATAATTAGATCCTAGGATCAGGGGTAGGCAACCTTGGCTCTTGTACGACTAGTGGATTTCAACTCCCATAATTCCTGAGCCAGCATGGCTGGCTCAGGAATTATGGGAGTTGAAGTCCACGAGTCGTAAAAGAGCCAAGGTTGCCTACCCCTGTCCTAGGTCATATAAGGTATTTATAGAGGATAATCAAAACCTAAGACAAAACAAAACGTATTAAAGACAAAAAGTATGGAAAAATAATTAAAAATCATTTTGATGTTTCTGATAAAGTTCTATTGACAGGATCAAGATGGATGCCAAATTAATCTTGTGCAGGGAAGGTTTTATAAGTGAGGACGTTACTAAACTCTGGCCCATTCAGGAGCCATCTATTTCATCTCAGATATTTGATGTTGGAAAAGAATTGTGAGGACATAAGATAATAATTATTTATAATATTTTGATTTTCAGCAGATTGAGGGGCTGATTTTATCCCTTAGCCCTATAGTAACCGTATAGCAAATTTTACAATGTATTGTTTCAAGTCAAGTAATTGCAATCTACTAAATGTCTCATAATAAACATTTGTAATTATTTTATATAAGTATTACAGTGCTGATACGTTAAAAAGAAGTTAAGTGGGGGAAGAAGTTAGAATGTGATGAAATAAGACAAAGAATGCTTCTTCAGCCACAAGTTTTATGCTACTTGAAGTAGCGTTTTTACCTCTGGAGAGAGAATAGAATTATCCATGGAGATAAAGAATGTTCAACACATTCTTTCTGGATGAGAAGATTGGACATAATAGTTAAGGCTTCAACTTTATACAAGCAGAATTTTACTAGCAAACAGAGATGCATCTAAATGTCTTTTCCCCCTCTGTTCATGCTGTATAGCTATTACTCCCCTTTTTATTATTACGGCATCGTCTAATGCCACACTACCCTAAGGGGTAAACAGAAAACTTGATGTCATAGTCACATACTGGGAGAGATGCTCCCTAGAATATAAAACTGAGTTTTAATTTCCAGTACAGCCACTGTACCAATGATGCATGGAGACACTGTAAATCCCATTTACACATGGTTAAGAAACCCAAGTTGAAGCTTCATGCTCCACAGATACCTCAGGCTCTGGGTCTCTTTCTCTCTCCATACCAATTTATTTTTCCGTGGTAATAAATGGTCTAGAACACACAACATAGAACATTAATGATAATAGCAGCAGGGCATTTAGTGCTTATGCAGAATTCAGCTTTTTTTTCTTTCTTTTTTCCTCTCCCCCTTTCCATGCAGTTGCAAAAAAGGAGCTACATAAAACAGATATGACTATTAGAGATCATTTAGCTCGGACATATTGCCCTTCCCTGTGATGCTCTGCTTCCTGCCACTTTTTTCCTTTTTTATGGGCTAGAATGTTTATCTGTTAGCAGTCACCTACACTGTTAGGCTGGACCACCTTGTAAGCTATTAATACAGGATGGCAGCAAAACCAGCAGCTCTGGATATATCTGTCTTCAAGTTGCCAGAGATATTTGATCCTATTTCCCAGGGTAGATGGGACAGATAATATTTTTATACATTTATCAGTTTAAATTAGAAAAGTTTTGTCAGGGCTCTTTTGTTTCATTTTATTATATTTTACAAAAGAAGGGAAGTAATCAGAACTGGTGCCATCTCCATTCCTAACCAACCAACCCACCCCCACCAAATTATAAAAAATGTCCAGCCTTGTGTCATTAAATTCTGCTGTTTTCTGGCTTTTAGAAAGATACACAGTATGAATTACAATTGCCAGGCCTTCAAATTCGCACACACGTTTGAATTTATGCATCTTTTAATGTGTATAAACCCAAATTTGAGAATGTGGATCCTTGTGAAACAAGTACAAAGTAGCCCATTTTGGCCACAATTTACAAACCCGTTTTTTAGGGATTGGAATTGTTGTACTTCCTCCTTAACCACATAACCCCACAGATGGGATAAATGTGCTAAAGAGCAGGATACAGCAGAAACTGGGGAGGGCTTTGCAAGGGTGGGAAATCTAATGAGTATGGATGGGATTGAGAAAGGAAGTTAAATAAAACCTGCCAGTCACTGCCACCACTTTCTGCCAGTTCATCTGAAAGAACACAGGCCAATGTGGTTTGAGTTGATTTGTAAATTGTCTAATCTAATCCAAGACCCATTTGTCACTTTTCTATTTATTTATTTTCATCTAAGTCCACAACAGAATTGAAGGTAAGAATTGAAACACTGAGGTAGAAACCGAAGGGTTTCGTTTAAAGAAAAGAAAGTATGAAAAAAAAATCTCATCTTTTTCTCTCTGCATTGTTACATGCTGGTAGCAATCTCCTGACAGGGAAGAATACCCAGGTCAGAGGCCAAGCATTGTGCTCCTGTCTGGGTGAGAAGATAAGCGGTTGGGCCAGTGACAGCTGACAGCAGCAGCTTGAAATTTAAGGAATCGGTTTTTTGCCTTGGTGGACAAGTCTCCAGTAGTTTGATCCTGAAAGTGGGGCACATTTTTGGAATCCCAGGTGGGCTGCTCCTTTCACAACACCTCAAAAGACATTCTGAAATTTCTGTGAATGCTGATTACAAAGATTAAAGAAACTGGCTCACTTTCTTCCTAATCACCCAGGAACAGGATGTCTTGTCTCATTTTAAAATTGTCTCATGCAGCTCTTAAATAAAGGTTCCCAGTAATTGACGTCATCAAACAGCATTGATCACTATAGTTCATTTTCTTGGCCACTAGTTAGCACCTTTTGATGTCATCCAACACCAAATAACAGATCATGTATGACCCCCATTGGTTAAATAAGTTATCTAACTTGCTCCAGCTATTCTTTGTGAAAAGCAAAGGTTTGGGAAGGGAACTACTGTATACAGTTGTGAGCCAAGAAGTTCTGGAAAGTAAGATAGGAGGGAGAAGCA